GTCGCGATCATTGTCAGCAATGAATACCAAGAGTTAGTGACCGAAATGAAGCGTATCTCCAAACTGATGACGATGAGGATCGAGGCAGATGATGTTACAATCTAAGCAGTGTCGTGCTACGCCCCGCAACCCGTATGTGCCGAAGCTGAGAAGGACATGTTTAAGAAAAACTGCGAGTCGAACTGCCAGTGGAATAAGAACATTTGATGAAGAGGGCTAAATCTTCGTAGGAGGCGATCTTTAAGAGCACGTTGGGCACGCACATGATGGATTCAAGCTATACCATGGCGGAAATGGAAACGGTTAGAGGACGAGGACGAAGAACGCATTTTGAAAACTGCCAAAGCACGCGTCTTGGCTATCGCAAACATCATTTTCAAAGCGGGAATAGTATTTTGTGGCGATTGCGAGTGGTGGTCGCTTAACTCAGATCTACTGAATGCTGCGCCGAAGTCATTTGTCGATAATAATGAACACAAAGGTTATACCCAGAGTCGGACAAGAAGTGTAACACACAATGAACCTCATTAAATTCTGTCTCAATACCCCCTTCCTTGGATTATCGTTTGCCTAGCATAGGCATGACGTGAAGGGTACGAGGCATAATATTAGAAAGATAGGCGGTAGGAATCCCTGTCAGCACGAGTTTGGCCACGACCATCGAATCCCTTGAACAATTTACATCACAAATAGCACGGTTGCGATTATCAAGATGTGTATCAATCCCGATTAGCGTCTTCATTGCGTAATATCGAAGCTGAAAGGTCGCCTGCGTAACTTTACATCGGGGGACTTATAGACTATAGTGTAACGAACAAGGAGAAAGACTGTCCGCGTTGATCATGACGGCAAGAATCCTGAAAACTCACAGTTTTAAAAGCCCTCCTTTCGACGCTGCACCTGTTAATCGCACGGTGGAGAAACAAGAACATCGTTGTCAACAGAAAATATTGCCTGACGGATGTTGCTATTGTTCCGAAGTTCTAACGGGATTGGACCTCGCCTCCTACGTTTCAAGTTCTACTTTTCATGGAATGGAGAGAGCCAAGTTCAGGAAGCATCGTTTCATTATTTTCTTCGATATCCGGCTCATGGCGAAATATCGTGATCGACAACATCATAATAACGGTCCATACATCTCTGCGACTATGCCAAGGAAGCTCAGAGCTCAAAGAGTACGAAAAGGCGTCTTACTGCGGAGACTTGGGAGCTGAAAGCCAACGTAGACGCGCACGGCGGAGCCACAGGCGAAGCGATGGAGGTAGAACAAGACCACAAAAGAAGTAGCAGTGGTGGATGACGCCGCGGAGGTTGGAAGAAGTATCGCAATGCCCGCCGAAGCTTCGTCAACACTGAGACAGAGATGACCGCATTTTCTCGTTGACGGAACCATGGCTGCTTCTCGAAAGTCAATGGAGAAGGTCATCTACGTCTTACTCAGATTTCTTTGCGAGCCACGTCCACCTTCCACTAACAAGGGAACGATACTCGGTGTCCGTGGTCTTTTGAGATGAGATGTATAATAATATTGCACTCGTCTTCGGATGCTGATTCCGAATCTGACTTCCGTTTCTGCTAATCGCTTCAAAGATGTTATGATGGATCGCGCGGAGTTTGACTGCCTAGTGAAATACGGTCGGAGCTGCACGGGGCAGCGTTGCGCTGTGGTCTAGTGGTTAATGCGATAAGCTCATGAGTCGGTGCTGGTGTAATCTCGAATCCCTCTTTGTTTCTCAATTTTGCATTGCCTCAGTTAACCTTCTTTCGCATCCTCCAGCTATGGGACGCCCTTACTCTTCAAAAAAATGTGTAAATTTGGAACAAATGATTACTGTTTGCGCTAAAATGTATCCAGTGATTATAATTCGAGTGAATTTTCTCGAACAAGTGTGGCAGTGCAAAGGTAAAAACACAAAAGAATTTGAATCCACACCTGCCTCAACTTATGAGGCTATCGCACTATTTACTAGACCAGAACGTGGCCGCAGTAGAGGCCGTTCCAATAATCATATTTTCCTTGGGCGGCTAAACTTGGCTCAGAATTCGCCATAACTTCTTTCAGAGAAACGATTAGCAGAAAAGGAAGTCAGATTCGGAACCAGCGTTCGAAGGCGAGTGCAAAGGTATGCATCTCGTCTCAAAAGACCAGGGACATTGAGTATCGTTCCCTTGTAAGCCATCTCAGGGAGGATGTGTATGTCGCATTCTCTGTTATTTCTTCCAAAATTCGTCATGCTATTATGTATAAAGAAGTATATAGCACCCGATCCCGAAAGGACTAAGCCAGAACGTCTGCAGAATTTTCGGCTGCAGAATCTTTGGCCACTTTTCTGAATACCTTGGTGATGTTCTTCACGCGGTACCTGGCGAAAGGCAAGGTTCCAAGACATGGAAGACCAGCAAGACCGTGTTGCTGTACAAGAAGGCAGACCCTTGGGACATCGGCAATTATCGCCCTATCTGTCTGTTGTCTGTAGTAGTCTACAAACTCTTCACGCGAGTTATTCTCAGCAGGAGCTGGAGAGAGTTACACGAAAGATCGCCGATATCGAAAACAGAACTCGAGAGAGGAGCGTGCGTTAGCCAATTCAAAGAATGCACACTACAAGAGAATTTACGACGGGCTGGAAGGACCTGCCGGAGCTAACAGGTCTACCAGCTGGCCGCTGCCCGAGATAGCGCGGAGGGCATCGACCATGTCATACATCATAGACGCAGAAGGCAATCTCCTGAGGCCGAGCGCAATACAAGTGATTGGCACCTCGGATCGAGGAGACAGAAATTGTGCAGGCACTAAAAATCATGTCCAGCGGTGAAGTCCCGAGATCTGAGCACATACCTGCCGAAGTATGGAAGTGATGGGACAGTACGTAGTGGGATACCTTACATTCTCCAACCGGATAATTGTCAACGAGCAAGTGCCGCGAATTTGATTTACGAGTGTCACACTCAGTATTTGGAAGAACAAGGGCGACGTTAGCGACTGTTTAACATATCAAATGATACGCTTATGTGCCACACGATGAAAATCCCTAAGCGAGTCATCGACACCGGTACTGAAAGTGCATAGAAGTCCTTCAAATCAATGCAGTCTTGTAAAAGGTACCAACAACGCCATCCATGCCGTACACTACTAATGGGACGCCATTTGGAGAAGCGAAATTCGATCCATTTTGCCTCCATGGATTTATAAAAGGTATTTGACGAATATCACATGAGCTAGTTTGATATGCACTGAGACAATACGACGTCTCAGAAGAGTATATCCGTTAAATCAAACTTTTCAATGCGAACACGACAGCTTCCGTACGCTATGTAGTATGAACGTCGATGCCACTTTCAATTTAAGTTGAATTACATTAAGGATCGGCTCTATCACCATTCCCTTTTTAGTGTGCTTAAACACGGTGACCAGAGACATTCAGCTGTCGCGTCTGTAGACGCTCCTCTACGACTACGTCGAGCTAGCAACTGGATCGACAGGAGCTTGAAAAGGCAATCATGAAATGGAAGACGCGATTAACCGAAAATGGCCTGCACTAAACGCAGGAAAGACAGACTTATAATGCGAACACCCGACCGACGGTACATTCAGTATCACTGAAGAAGATCATTACATTTAAATATCTGGCTCCCACGTGGCCTCGGATTGCGAAACGAACACGAATGCGAACCGATGCTCGTGCTAGGACGAACGGGGTCGGGCTGAAGTGGCGGCAAGTAAGAGGAATACTCTGCGACCGCTAAATTCCAATATATCTCAAGCCAAAAGTATATCGGATTGTGGTACGGCCAGTCGCACTGTACGGAGCAGTATGTTGGCCAACCTAGGAAACACGAGCAGTTGTTGAGCATGAAGGAGAAACGAATGATAAGATGGCTACTCGTCTTAACGCAAAGATGCGTCACGAACACCGATGTGCGGCACATTTTTGGGGTTGCACCTAATGCGGATAAGATGCGAGGTGCCAGATTACGATGACATGGTCACGTTTTACGACGTGAAGATAGTGAAGTAGCCAAAACAGCACTTCTATTAGATCTATTTTAGATCCGTTTAGATCAGATCCGCAAGAAAAAAGACCACGTGGCTAACCAAAGCAACGCTGTTTGGACACCATCCGAAGCGACCTGCACGTTGCAACAAGCATACCACAAGAAGCAGCTGATTGAATCAATTGGAAACAAAAATGCAACAGCGCCGACACCCTGCCCTGCGGGACGATGGCGAAGATGAAGAAGAAGATGATGATGAAGAGAAAATTTGATTGAAGTAAATTGACACTGCCCCTTATAGTCCTGTGGCCGTATTCATCATTGATACATTGAGGTAAATCTACTTCCAGGTAGTTTTATCACTCATTATCAGCAAAATTACATTGAGAATTTACCTCAAGGTACTTTATGATTACGGGTACTTGCTGATAATAAGTGATAAAACTACCTGGAGGTAGAATTTACCTCAAGGTATCAATGATGAATACGGCCACTGGTTTCCTTCCTCACACGATTATATACTCTGCGCATTGAGAAGAACGGCCATGTATCTGCACCCATATAGATGCCCTCGCTATCAGGATATATTGATTTTAATGTTGATCCCGGAGTGAATTTCAAGTCTTTCAAACGCGCTTTTTGCTCCAATTTCACGATGAATTAGTTAGGTTATATGCTATTGCAACTCGCTGAAATCCCAGTACCCTCACTTTGCCGGCACGCTGCCTTGATAGCCTCTTTAACTAAAAGTGCTTATTTTATGGTATTACATGGATGCTGAACAATAGTTTTGCAGAAAAAGTACGGACATATACACTGTTTCCTAGTTGCAGAGCTATATCCATATTATTGAGTGCGCTAAAGGTATTCATGAATTTTAATTATGGAACGCCTTGGTAGCGCGGCGCATAGCAGCCACTTCGCGAAGTATGTACGCAATAATGCGCTCAAGTCTTGTTTTGAGAGTAAAAAGAGATACATTTAATAGCGTAAGGAGCACATACTTGAGCACTAGCTAGAAAGAATAACTGGTCTTCGCTTAGATAAGCTATGCTTTTGAGCCGTAGTTCCGATCCTTCTCTCTTCTTCGCATTCTGATAAGCCTGAATAAGCTACCTTTTCCTGAGCCCACACTTGCTCGTCTGCATGTGTAATCCCAATATCAAACTTCATACTAGCAAGAATGGCAAGTCAGAATTATTGGATTTGCCTTTGTGTACAGGGGAAATGCGAACGAGAAAGTCTCGCGCTTTCCCCTATATCACAACCTTGATTAGCATATTAATCGAATAGGAAAGTTGAGCAAAGAGGCTCTTTGCGTGAAATAAACATTCAAAAATTTGTGTTACTGTTGATAAGCTCTTTACTTTTGCATACTAACAAGAAAAGTACTTTCAATGATCGCAGCACTACATATGAGGTGTTTATCGCCGAAAGCAACTTTGAACGCTGACTTTAAATCTGATTCCATTCCTGCGGAACGCCCTTCTGAAAAGAGTCGTGGAAGCCTGATGATCATAGAAGAGAACCGTTTTTATGCGCTTTTCAAATTGGAGGGCGCTGCTAATAATGTACATTCACTTTTATCCCGGATTAGGTAAAACATTTTAGGTGGAGCAGTGCTTGCGCTTCGCTTGAGGTCTTGAGGTCACAAAATGGGTCTTTTGTGCACGGATTGCGGATGCAACGGTACCGATGAATAGGCCTTGTGACCCTATCTGTGTGCTGTGAACATCAGATCTTTCCAAAACTTCTGAGATTTTTAAGAAATAAAAAAAGTGTAGCAGAAACTATCCAACGACCTACTATTTTTAAGTCCAAACAAATCGCTTGCACATTTGTATAGCACATTTAAGTAAATTCCAAGAATTTCGCGCCCTTTCTTGGGGGGGGGGGGGGGGGGGGGCTCTGTACGCCACTGCTATTTGCCTATATACAATGAAATTTCCCCTTCTCTCCATCAAAAAACATCCGAAACCTTCTTTTGGCTCGAAAACCTCAATTTGTCTTGTACTTCCCTACTAATCAAACAATTCAAGAATCTCTCGAAAAACTCATATCTGAACAAAAGATCTCATCAAGCTAACTATAATAGTCTACGTTTTCCCCTCAAACTCAAAACCATATTGAATTATTTGAACTTCCGAAAATTAAGTTTAGACACCCTTTCACGAGGCTGCACACACTAAAAAAAACTCTACTCTACAACAGTCTATAGACAAGCACTCGAAAGTTTCTCTACAACAAATAGCCAAACACCAGAAGTGAAAATTTAAAAGTGCATCTGCACAAAAACCTGAAAACTGAAAAACCTGAAAAACGAGCTTAAAACAACATAAACACCAAAAACGCCGATAAGCAACACGAAAATGCTGAAAAGAACGCGAGAAAAACGATCTGAGCGAGTTAAAATTGAGAACAGCCTATTTTCAAAAATGCATAAGCTGACGATCAGCGTAATGAATTGTGCGTACGCTATAATTGCGAGGTGTTGTACGTTAGGAATCCCAGGTGATCGCAAATTTCTGGCACTTCCTGAGCACGTGCCCTAAAAATTTGTGTCTTTTTGTAGCGCCATTGCAAGCGAACCGCCCCACGCGTCAGCTCCAATGGTTGATAGCGTGCCACGGAAGTGCTAGAGATTGCCGCTGTTCTCCGAAAGTTTGCGATTGTTTGAGTTACTATAAGAGTACGGTGGGTACTTTCAGCTTACACGTGTTATGTACTAGCCGTGTTACGAAAAATTTTTTTCCAGATATAAAAGGTTGTCTACCGGGGTTTTCACTCACGCTGACTTCATTACTCATGTTCATTCGGGAGAAGAGCGAGGCAGCTAATAGCACGGCGCATTGGAATCAGAGTTGCGATGTGGGGAGCCGGGCCCACCAAAAGTGAGGGTGGTCCCAGCTTCCATTGGCCGGCCAAAAGTGAAGGTGGTAATGCCGGACACTCACCTCCCAAAAACGTTGACGGGGGGGGGGGGGAGAGCGTTAACGTCGACTGAGCCTATTTTTCCAGGTCGTTGCCGCCAGTGCGTGGAAAATAAGCAGAACGAATGCAAAAAAGATTTTTGAAAGCATATTTTTATGTATACGGCGGCATATTCATTTTAAACGCGCTTAGTAAATGGTGTGTTTTGAAGTGAAACTCAGCGAGACTTAACAGACTTTATTGAATAAATTTTTTATAACGTACTGCGAAGGAAGTAGGTCGACTCAGGCAGTAACCACCGAGAACCACAATTCTGAATAATAAGTTAACGATAAATTATGCGAAATTCCCACTTTTATAAATATTGCGGTTGATGATGTTAGCAATTGCGACTTCATAGGTTTTTAAAAGTAAACGGTGCTCTATCAGACGGTGAAAAAATCGAGTCGATTTAAAGATTATCGCCGAAAACCAGAATTCCAGAAAATTACGCCATTTTAGCGTGTTTGATGAGAGCTGACAAGAACTCATATAAGTCTTGAAAGTGAAAGTGTTTGGTGTTGCGACTTCATGGATTTGTATAGTAAGCCCTGCTTTATCAATATGTACTTTGAAAGTATCGATCCATTGAAACAGCGCCGAGATCCAGGGTCTTGAAAAAGCAGGTAAAAAGCGCTCTTTGAAATTCAACAGCTCATAACTTCTTAAGAACCGCAGGAATCATGATGAGACTTCATAGGTTAGACTCTTCTCATCAAGAGCTTTCAAATAATATGAAATATGTGGGAGTTTGATACCTCCTACGACTTATGCCCGGGAGGGGAGACTTCTGATCACAAAGCCTCCCCTGGCGGCCTCCATCTAATACATAATAGTGGGTTGCATACTTTCGATAGTCTAGAGACAGGGCCTCAAAAGTGAAGGTTGTTTGAACATCTGGGCCGGTAGTAATCCCCCCAATCTGGCGGCAGGTCTCGTCGGCAGGTCGCTGGCACCTTTTACGTGAGGTGGCAAGAAAGTGAAACCCTAAATTTAGGCCGTCCCAGGCCTTTTTCCACAAAATTTTCTCGATAAAGATGCCTCGACTCTATAGAAAACCCCATAGAAATCTGCGGTTTCAGAACTCCTCCTTCAGGAAAATATCCAGAAGCGTAAGGGCAGCTGCCGGCAACTTCGCTTATCCATCAGCTGTTCTTTCAGGTCAAAGTCTCTCACGCAAAGTATCGATCCCTCTTACAGGCGGCCACTTACCAGTGCGTTCCTCCTATTGCTGGTGCAAACGGCAATGGTTGACCGAGTGGTTGAATGGTTAACAGGTGGCACTTAAAGTTAACGCGCTTAGGTTCGACCACGCGCGAGGTATCAGTTTTGCGGCTGTCTGCGTCATCAAAATTTAATGTGCGAAATGATTGCGCACTAAGTTTATATAAGATTATCATCATAGCCTACAACTTATCATCATAGTCTACAATCATTCCGCGAGCTGCCGGCGGAGTTGGCATCTTTCCGCGATGTGTGCCAACTTGCCGGCACCTATGGTGCCACCAGATAGGGTAGGTTACTACCGGCCCTGACGTCATGAATAGTGAAGGTTGTTAAAAGAAGATCAGAAAAGAGAAAATGACGTAAAACAAATATAAAAAGCAAAAGAAACTGCTGAAAATCGGATAAAAACGCTGCAATGAGGTTTAAATTCCTTCATCTGGCGGCTTTCCAAAGTGCAAGTTTTCGCTCCAGGACCAGCAATTCGCAACACGGGTTTTGATTTTTGATGCGTCCTTTAAATTTTTACTCCCGCATTGACGTTCCTGTTTCCTGGGACGTTGTCTGGATTGTTGCGCTTATTGTTCTGAGCAACAATCGCCCAAGCTGGAAAAAAATCGATGCGAAAGCACTGAGACAGAACAAGGTAAAGAAAAACGCACTTTTTTACGATTTTTCGCAAAAAAGCGTTTGGGGTAGCGAGGTAGCACGCAGCGCGCGGAGACGCAGACGAGCAGCGGAGACAGACCAGAGCCGACGGGGCATTTGGCTCTGGTCGTAGATCTCCGCGGGGTCTCAACGAAACCCTGCATAATTAATATCATTCTGATTGTCATGACACGACAAGGAGAATTGACAACTTCCCAAGCTTTGAAAATCGCTCATTAACGAGATAGACCAGCGTTTTCCTGCGCGACTTTCTGCGCAAGATTTAAGCGCAGTTTCTCGTTTTTATTCAACTCCTATAGCTTTCCTAAACTTGTGAAACTCGATTTTGTTCGTATGAGAGGCTCACTGCGAAATTTTGTCCTGAATTCTGGCGAAAATTTTACAGAATCCTTCTTTTTATGGTAAAAAAAGGCTATGAAAACGCAAATTTTCGGTTTTTCTAAGATAACATTCTCGCACGTGCGCTGGCCGTGAGCAGTTGGCATTTCTACTCTCTCTCTCCCATCTTCCGCTTTCATCGTACAATTGCAATTCTTTCAATATCCATCTCTTATTAACGTTTCTTTTGTGTTCTTTGAGTCCTCAGAAGAAACTTTAAGAACAGAGTCGTTTACTTTGGTTTTGATTAACCTTCCAACAGCGTCCGTCCTTCACTGAACCTCATTTGAATTCAATTCGTCAATTTTTCTGATTTTCCCATTGAATTCAATTGACACTATATTTGGACGCATTTGTATTTGGTCCGGTGTCGTTAGTAGTTGCTTTGCAAATCTCCTTCCTCCTTTCGTTTACCCCAAATCCAAGCTATGCCTGCAAAAAGCACGAAATCTCAGCGCCAAAATAAAAGAGATGGTCTAGCAGATCCTCTAACTCAACGCGCTAATATCAATATCACTTCACAACATCCTGGCTCAATTTCGCAGAACGGGTATGGTAACAATCGTGGTCCGACAACAATTTTTCAACTATTCAAAAAGCTGTTAGACCTCAACATACCCGAGGTAAGTGATATTACGAATGAAATCCTACTCCGTTTGGGCGAGCTTGGAGATGGGGCGGTCGAGAGGGATGTTAGGCAGAGAAGCATCGTGATTGCTGGCCTACCCGAACTTATGGGAGGAAACGATCAGACCGCTTCTTTGGCGTCTGAGCGTCAAAATGATACTGAACAAAAGGTTCGTGGAGTTCTTGACGCGTTGGATATCGAATGTAGACCTGTAAAAGTTTTTCGTATGGGCAA